CTTACTCTAAACCTACCATAATTAAGTGCTTCAGATGTTTGTAGCAAGGTCATAAATCTAATGATCTCCAAAATATGCAACATCTCTAACTATTAGAGGATGATGGGGAAGAAGAAACATGCAATCTTGAAATCAAAAAAAGATGTAGAATCAGAAGATGTAGCTAGAATTGAAGAGAGTCGCTTGTATGTGTGCTCAAGAAATTGCTATTAACACCTAGACATTAAAATAATTCTCAGCATAATGCCATTTTTAGACAAACATGTAATTTCAATAGAAAGGTTTATGTGTTATTGATTGACATCATATGCACAGAAAATGTGATTTGTCAATTTATTGTCCAGGCATTATAACTCAAGACCACGAAAAATCCTAAACCTTATCAAATGAGTTGGGTCTAGAAGGGCATGGATATTTTAGTGTCTAAAATGTGGATAATTTTATTTTCCATAGGAAAAAAATTATGTATGTGAGGTGTGATGTGATGTATTAAATATGGATGTCTGCCATTTGATTTTAGGAAAATCATGGCAGTATGATGTTGGTGCAATTTATGATGGCAGAACTAATACATATTCATTTGATTAGAAAGGTAATGTTAGATACTATTGTCGCAGACACGAGACAACAATATGGTGTCAATCAAGTCTAAAGATGCTATGTAAGTGGTGTCGATTATAGTTGATTTGCTAGTTCCACAGTCCTTTGAGGTTTGTAGCTTTCATAGATTAGCTTGTTTTTGTCGTCAATTTATCTCGGGCTTCAGTTTAATCATGACACATATCACAGATTAGTTGACATAAATATAGTTTCAGTGGACTGAAGCTCAACAATGTCGTTTTGAAGCCATAAAAATTACTCTTTCCATAGCTCAAGTTCTCACCCTTCCTGATTTTAACTAGACCAAGATTTTGTTTTATGTAGTAACCACCGAGCATAACAGCATATCAACAACCAAAAAATCATCAATCGGATGCATGCATTATGGATTTTTGTTCCTATAAAGGTTCACTTTTGTTTTAAAACACAAGACAAGTGCCCAAATTGAGTTGTTGATGCTCTCAGCAAGTGCTCAGCTCTTCTTACACAATTAAAACTAAAATTATAGGTTTGAAATGTTTAAGTAATCTTTATGCTATTGAAAAAGGCTTCCAACTCATTTGGCAAACTTGTCTTGATAATGTTTCTGTTGAAGACTATTCAACCAGACATGGCTATCTCTTTAAAAGTAATTTATTGGGCATACCAGAATCTTCATAGAGATAGCAATTGATTAAAGAGGTGTAATGTGGAGGTTTTTCAACCCATGTTGTTCATAATAAAACTATTTCACATCAACAAATAAGTTTCCTTTAGCCACATCTCTGTTGAGATACTTGTCATTTGTGGAGCTGTGTTTTGTTTTCTAGACTTAGAATGGTGGAAGTCAAAAGATACGTTTATATCTTCCCCTTAATGTTCCAAATATAATTTTGGAAGATTTAAGTTAGGATTTTGTTTTGGTTATGCTTTGCAGTAAGCATGGCAACAATTCTATTATGGTTGTTGTAGACTAATTCTAAAAAATAGCACATTTTATTGCTTTTAAGAAGACTTTTGATGCACTTTATATAGCCTGAGTGCTCTTTAATGAAATTGTGCACTTGCATGGAATCTCAAAAAGTCTTACATCTCATAGTGATGTCAAAATTATTAGCCAATTTTGACAAGAGTTGTAGAAACATTTGCATACTAAAAATTCAATTAAGTTATGCATATCATCCACAAACCGACAGTCAAACAAAAGTTGTAAAAGAGCACTTAGAAACATGTTGTGTTGCCTGGAGAATTCCAAGTGCTGGGGCAAGTTGAGTTCACCTACAACACTATGGTTATTCATTCCGCTGGTAGGTGTCCGTTTAGTATAATTTACACTAAATTGCCTAATTATAATCTTGACATAGTAGTTTTGCTAAAATGCAAGAGTAAGGTTGTCTTTACATTTGATGTTTGAAAGAAGCTCACATAATCAAATACCAAGTATAAGCTAGCAGTAAACAACCATCACTGAGCAAAACTTTTCAATCTAGGTGACTTGGTTATGGTTTAACTACGGCGTGAGAGGCTTCTCCTCGCGATTACTCTAAACTCAACCAGTGAAAAATTTGTCCAATTCCAAATATAAAGAAAATCAATGACAATACTCAGATTGTTGATTTACCAATTGAACTTAACACTTCTTCAACATTTAATATTATTAATATTTACCATTATCACCCCTAGATAATGCAAAGATAACAACATCCTCGTTGGACAAGAGTTTTTCTAAAGCAGAGAAATATGATATGGAGCATCATATGCATTTTGTGCCTTAAGGAATTCTTTATCCTTTTCCTATCATTTATATGTCTTATTGTTTCCTACTATTGTAGTTTGTTTTTCTGTTATGTTAGTGCAAAATATACCTTTTTTGCTGTTAGTGCTTTTTTCAACAGCAGAGTAAGAAACTTCAAGTACAGGTCTTTAACAATATATCCATCTTCTTGATTAGGAATCTCAAAGAAGCAGAACAACATTCATGGGGAACAAACACAAGAGCTTCTTCTTCTTAGGTTTTGAAGTAACAGAAGCCAAAAAATTTGATAACTGAAAGCCTATAAAGTGACAAGAAGGTTCTTAGAATTCCTTGTTCTCTTCAAGTAGCTTTTCCACATCATGGGCAAGAAGGCTCTTCAGAACTCGAGTGATCAATGGAAATGTTGAGCATTTATGACTTCTCCCAAAATTTCATTCATATAGCAAACTTGTCTTGACAATGTTTCTGTTGATGACTATTTAATCAGGCAGGGCTATCTCTTTAAAATAATTTGTTGTGCATACCACAATTTTCATATAGACAACAATTAATTAAAGAGATGCATTGTGGAGGTTCGTCAACCCACGTTGGCCTCAATAATACTATTTTACAGCTGCAAATAAGTTACCTTTAGCCACATCTCCGTGTTCTTTTTTTAGACTTACAAGGGTGAAAGTCAAAACACACAGGTTTATATCTTCCCCTTAATAATGTTCCTCATATAATTTGGGAAGATTTAAGATTGGATTTTGTTTTGGTTTTGCTTTGCACTAAGCATGGAAATGATTCAATTATGGTCGTTAAAGACTAATTCTCAAAATGGCGCATTTTATTGCTTTCAAGAAGACTTTTGATGAACTTTATATAGTCTGAGTGTTCTTTAATGAAATTGTGCACTTGCTTGGAATACAAATAAGTCTTACATTTTATAGTTATGTCAAAATTATAAGCCATTTTTTGGCAAGAGTTCTGGAAACATTTGCATATTAAAATTCAATTAAGTTTTTCCTATCATCCATAAACTGGCAGTCAGATAAAAGATATAAAAAGAGCACTTGGAGACATGTTGTGTTGCCTGGTTCAAGAGAATTCCAAGTGCTGGGACAAATTGATGGGGCAAGTTGAGTTCCCTACAATACTATGGCTAGTCATTTCGCTGGTAGATGTCTGTTTAGTATAGTTTAAACTAAATGCCAAATTGCACTCTTGACATAGCAGTTTTGCCAAAATGCAATAGTATGGCTGCCTCCACATTAGCCAACCAATTCTCTACAATGCTTATTGATGTTCGAAAGAAGCTCACATAATCAAGTATCAAGTATAAGCTAGCAGTGGACAACCATTGCTGAGCAAAACTTTTCAGTCTAGGTGACTTGATTAAGGTTTAACTACAATGTAAGAGGCTTCTCGCGCTTACTTTAAACTCAACCAGCGAAAAATTGGTCCAATTCCAATCAAAAAGAAAATCAATGATAATGCTCAGATTGTTGATTTACCAGTTGAACTTAACACTTCTTCAACATTTCATATTGTTAATATTTACCATTATCACCCCCTAGATAATGCAAAGATAACAACATCCTCGTTGGACAAGAGTTCTTCTAAAGCTAGAGAAATATTATATGGAGCATCATATGCATTTTATGCCTTAAAGAATGCTTTACCCTTTTCCTATCATTTCTATTTCTTTTTGCTTCCCATTATTATAGTTTTCTTTTCTGTTATGTTAGAGCAGAATATACCTTTTTGGTTGTTAGTGCTTTTTTCAGCAAGAGAGTAAGAAACTTCGAGTATAGCTCTTTAACAATGGCAAGAAGGTTCTTCGAATTCCATGTTCTCTTCAAGTAGCTGTTCTACATCATGGGCAAGAAGGCTCTTCAGAACTTGAGTGATCAATGGAAATGTTGAGCATTTATGACTTCTCCCAAAATTTCATTCATATAGCAGTTTAAATTATAAATTCATGAAGATTTCAAACCATAAGAGTGAGTATCAATGTATCTTTAGAAATAGGCCTCATTAGGGCTGAAAATGAACCGAGCGTTCCACAAGCTACTCGTAGCTGGACTCGATTACAACTCATTACTAAATAAACAACATATAACTAGTTGTTTGACTCGTTTATGTTTATGAACAATATCAATTAAAGCTTGTGAACAAACTCAATAAGAAGCTCAATATAACGATTGTTAAGAAACTCAATTACTATTTGATATAGAGCTTATGGATCATTAGGAATTGATTAAATCTTGTTTAAATCTTTATTTGACATATTTTCATATAATTTTTAGTTCTATTGTAATAAATCGTTCTTATTTTATAAAATATTATTTTCATTTGTTATGATATACTCTTTCAATATAATGCTTTTTTTATGAGTAAGAGAGATTTATTCATTTTTGTTGGATTATTTGTTTTAACTATTCATGAACAAGTTTGTTTATAAGAAGAATTATTTTATGAGTAATTTGTTCATGAATGAGCTTATTTTGTAGCTTGAAAACAATTCTATATATGTTCGTGAATGAGCTCATTCGATAGCTTGAAAATACTCGCTAGATGTTTGAAAGATTTGGGTGCCTAATTAGTACCTCTAAGTAACTGTTTTTTAGTAGGCTCGATAAGGCTCATTCGTCTAAAGCTCAATAAACAAGAAACGAATCGATCATGAACCAAACATAAACATTTGTCATTTTAAACGAACAAAGCTTGATTACAAACATAAAAGCTAGAATTGAGAGCATGAACTGAGTTCAAGTAAGCTGATAATAAACGAGTTCAAACATGAACAAGCACATGTTCGTCTCTACTCGATTCATTTGCAGCCCTAGATGTCACTTCGGTTTCAACATGTTAACACCTAAGAGTTCACAAATAATGAACTCGATGATGGCGTTCTCAAATTTAGTCAGATTAGTTTGGCTGTCTTGCCCTCTGTAGCACCTGCAGGCAAACTTTCTCGATAACTAGTTTTCTAATAGTGGTCTTAAGGATAATCAACTATATGGGAGGGGGAAAGATTGGAAGAACCTGCATGATGAACCGAAATCCCTTGATCATAATCACTTGTAATCACATCAAAGGGCTTCATGTTCTTTCAAGGAGGCAGTCGGGGCTACAACATTGCTTCAGTATATTCAATCCTCTTGAGCTCCTTCTCCCTTCGGTGCTTTTTTAAGGGTTGTTTGGTTGCCTGAAAAAGAATACAATGTAAAGTAAATACAATGCAAAATAAATGTAATATATTTAAAATACTTTGAAGCTATTTGGTTGTCTGCAAAGTAAATGAAGCAGAACTATTTCTTTTGTTTGATGATGTATATGTATAATAAAATAAAGCAGTGTATTTTGAAAATGTTTCTATAGAATAGAAAAATATATATGAATTTGAAGATATATATATAATCATGTAGAAATAGCTAATCTTGTAGATCATCTAAACTTATAAACCTAAGAGGTTGTTTGGTAGCAGGATTTGAGGCAAATCCAGCCAAATGCGAAAAATGGACATCTTAAATCTCACATTGAATTAAATCCTCTTTTTGTCATAAATTCCCTATAGTTCAACGGATTTATGGGATTTGGCTAAAGAAGCTTGTTACGGGGGAAGAAGGATGGTTACCTTCGATCCAGCACGAACAAGAATAATGATGCGAACCGTCGTGACTTCCGATCCGACAGGGAGGAAACGTCGTCGACGAAGGCGAAGAAGCTTTTTAGCGACTCATTCAGCTTGGAGTAGCTCCAATGGAAGATAAGATTAGAGGGAGTCGTCTTAGATGGTTTGGTCACATAAAATGGTGGCCTTTTTGATTACCTGGTTAGGAAATTAGAAGTATTAGATTTAACTTTTGTTAAAAAAAGTAGAGGTATACCTAAAAAGACTTGGTTAAAAAATGTTAGAAATGACTTTTGTTTATCAGATTTAAATGAGAATTTAACTCAAGGTTCTGAAAACCGGTTTAACTCAAGGTTCTGAAAACTAAACCGGAGAACGAACCGGAAGAAAGAGAGTTTCACGGTTCGACCAGTCGAACCGGATGACATAATAAATAATATTATTATTATAAAAATTTAATAAAATTAACAAAATAAAGGAATATAATAAACACATAATTTAATATAAATTATTGCTAAAATTTAACTCAAGGTTCTGAAAACCGGTTTAACTCAAGGTTCTGAAAACTAAACCGGAGAACGAACCGGAAGAAAGAGAGTTTCACGGTTCGACCAGTCGAACCGGATGACATAATAAATAATATTATTATTATAAAAATTTAATAAAATTAACAAAATAAAGGAATATAATAACCACATAATTTAATATAAATTATTGCTAATTTATTTTACATATTTAAATTTAATTTATAAATATAAATTATTTAAAAACTCACAAATATAAAATTATAAATATAATTAAATATTTTAATATAAAAATATTTCATTTAGTAACATAAAAAAAAATTTAGAGGTGAAAAACTAAAACTTTGCAAATTTTTAACATAAGAT